GGCATTTAATTAGTAAAAAGATAATTAAAAGATACAAAAACATCAAATTAATGAAAAAAAATCTAATAAAAAATAATAAAGGTTTAAATAAATGTTGGAGACCTGTTGTTCCACTAATTATGCAATAATGTTTTTTTTTGTTTTGTTTAGTTTTTTCTCACACTGTGGTAATCACCCTTTGTTTGTGTTTGGTTGTTTTTTATGTTTAAAAATGTTTTTGTTTTTTTACAATTAATACATTTGTACCACACTATATTATTTCTGAAAAAATAATAAACATTTTGTTTAAAAAATAAATAAATAAATAAATAAAAATAATGGTTCAAAAATAATTGGTTAAAATAAAAAGTCTTTGGTTAAACATGCGTCTGGCAGTGGAGCTTTTTACACACACTCATTACACTGATAGCGAATCTGTGTAAAGTAAATGTGTGCGAGTGTGTGTGTGTGTGTGTGTATATTTGTGTGTGTGTGTGGGGGGGGGGGTTCCTTACCAGCTCAATCCAGGAGTTGATGCTGACCGTGACGGGGTCCACAGACTCCACGTAGTGCCACCAGTGTCTGGGGACAAACAGAACCTGTCCGGGAGAAAGAGAACCGCTGGAGACCGGCCACCAGGGGGCAGCATCGCCCCCCACAGGCCATTTTGATTAGGTCACCAATAGGAAGATCCCTGGCAAGAAAATCCTAATTGCTTCATGGCAATGTAGGCATTAATTTAAAAATAGTTAAATGAATCTTGCAAACACTTAATCAAACTCTATACGTAATATTATGAATTCACATTGAATTAATATTTTCTATCATTTAACCCTCTGTTTCTGCAGAAACTGAGCCCTGACTGACTTTTTCTGCCTGAGAACTCAAGAGTTCTGCTGGTTTTTCCTCCAGAATTCACTAACTTTCAGATAATCAGCTCCATTACACCAAATATTACAGATATAAATAGAATATATATGTTAATGTGTTGGAAACAAATTCACTAAAAGAGGAGAAACTGAAATATTAGCTTTTTTAACATTAAAATCAGACCTGAGAGGACAGAAGGTCTGCTCAGACTTTTATAATTAAAGTTCTGAATGCTTTCAAGTGATAAAATCAGAAATTGTCTCATATTTTTTTTATTTATTTGAAAACAGTTGACAATAAATCATCAGATTTTGAGCTTTTTCTTGAGTGATTTTATTGTAAAGTATCAACACTGTTAGCTTTCCTCTGCTTGTTTTATTCTGGCTCATTTCCTTCCTGTTTTTCACTAATTTGCTGTTAGAAAACGGATTTTTAAATAAAGATTAGACCGGTTTATATTGACAGGAAGTAGACTAAAGGCGGCTAAAGGTCAGACAGACTGGACGGGAGCTGGACACAAACACAAAAGCACCTCGATAAACACCTTTTTTCCCGGATAGATTTCCCATAAAACGGAGGGAAGGGGTCAGCGGGGACTTGAAAACACTGATTACAAACGCAAACGCCGGGACCTTTAAGGCGGACCGATGTGGAAACAATCCTGGAGGTTGCTCAACAGACGACTGGCACCTTGGAGCTCATCGAGTGAGGCGTCGGCCATCTGATTGGCCGGGACTTGACCCCGATTAGTCGTTGCAGTCTTGGGTCAGTTTGTGGTCATTTGTGCTTATTTCAGCTGTTTTGGGTCAGTTTGTGGTCATTATTTGTGCTTATTTCTGCAGTTTTGGGTCAGTTTATGATAATTATTTGTGCTTATTTCTGATGTTTTGGGTCAATTTGTGCTTATTTCTGCAATTTTGGGTCAATTTGTGGTCATTATTTGTGCTTATTTCTGCTGTTTTAGGTCAGTTTATGATAATTATTTGTGCTTATTTCTGCAGTTTTGGCTCAGTTTATGGTCTTTTGGCTTATTTCTGCTGTTATTTCTGCTGTTATTTCTGCTTTTATTTATTTCTGCTTATTTCTGCTTTTTGGGTCAGTTTGTGGTCATCATTTGTGCTTATTTTTGCTGTTTTAGGCCAGTTTATGATAATTATTTGTGGTTATTTCTGCTGTTTTGGGTCAGTTTCCTGCCATTATTTGTGCTCATTTCTGCAGTTTTGGGTCAGTTTGTGGTTATTATTTGTGCTTATTTTTGGGTCAGTTTGTGGTCATTATTTGTGCTTATTTTTGGGTCAGTTTCTGGTCATTATCTGTGCTTATTTCTGCAGTTTTGGGGACAGTTTGAATTACACAAAGACAGAGGAAGCTCCCAGCTGGTGCTTCTCATTCAGAAAATGCTGATTAGCTCCTTAAAGTTCCTGATATTGACTCCTTAAAAAAGGCGTCCATGCGGCTAACTGCAGCTAGCGGCAGAGATGTAATGATGTCAGTAACGCATATCACTTATTTCTCCAATTATTAAAGTAATCTGAATACAAAAAGATTGATAATGTGTTATTGTTCTTTGATAAAAGAACTCCATCAGTAGGAAAAATGTCTGAAAATGAAACTGGAGTGATCGACACTATTTAAAGGTCATCAAACATCATTCAGTACATCAGGAAACACGGTGACTCTGACCTCTGAACTGTGAGGTCTGAACCACGGCCT